TATATATATATATATATATATATATATGTGTGTGTTTGTGCCGATTTTGAAGGAAAATTGAAACGCAGAAGATTTAAATTTTAGTATACATTTATTAAATTATATAGGTTAATCGGCACGAACTTTCCGGACAATCCAATATATATATAAAATATATGTATATTTTTTTTATTAACAGTGTCCACTTCAAGATTCACGTGCCCGAAATAATAAACCATCAAATTCATACAAAAACGGTGTTTATACACATTCACAAACCGGATATTTCGATAGCACCGAAGAAGCCCAAGGAAGAAGAACCAAAGAAGAAGAAAAAGAAGACCTATCACAAGGAATCACATCATGAAGATTGGAGTTCCTGGAATAATTACAATTATCAGAGCGATCAGGATGATCAATCAGACAACGATCTATTCAAAAATCAAAAGGATCACAAAGATGATGATATTCACAAAGAGGTGGCTCCCTTTAAGAACCCTTACGCCCAGTATCACAAAGATTCTAATACTCCCACGTCGCAAAACAACGAGAAACCTAATTTTCTGCAAGGACAACATGGACAACAGGATATGATAGGATATTCATATCCACCGCAATACGAAGTAAAGGAGGACATTAAAGAAATAGATAACAACGACATTGAACCTTATATTCACACATATGAGGAAAGTTATCATAAGGGGGGCGAATCCGCTAGCGGACACACGTATTCGGGTGATGTCACGAAATTCTACGATGACAAACACGAAGAGGGTGAACACTCCGCTGATGAGTATAAAAATGAATCAAAAGAGAAAACTCATGCAGGTCGTTATTTCATCGATGATTCCGAACACCAGCACAGTAACAAAGCGGAGAAGCGCGTGTCTCCTAGAATTCTTACGCGATCTCATAAGAAAGGAGAGACTTGAAATTTGAATTAAAACAAATAATAAAAGAGTATATATTAATAAATATATACTCTTTATAGTGTGTGTTTGAGATAAATATTACTATCACATACATATTAACTTAAAATTATAATACATAAATTCATAAATATAAATCAAGTAATAATAAAATGAATTATAATAAATTAAAATTAAATTACCATACGTTATATATGTATATATCAGGTATTTAAATAAAAATTATTATACATGTTAATAATTTATATATTCACGAGATGTTTACTAGATAAATAGATAATAAAATTTGTGTAATTTTTATTAAATTATTCTGTTATAATAATACTGCAACATCGTCAATAGATTATGAAATAATTATCGAGAAGATATAACACGCATTTTGTCTGAAACGTCTCAAGAAACTAATAATAGCTATTGACGCAGCAATAAAATCCTCGTTTGCGAAAGAAATTATTCATTTGCAGCATCTATATATTAAATTTATAATGTACTATTATATGTATTATAGTAATGATCAGTCTTGCCTTCAGCGTTTTCACATTCTTGCTTTTCATACAAAAAAGATTTCCGGATAGTAATCGTGAATGAGATTAAAGAACGCTTGATGGAAATTGTGGAAATTTTTTTTTCTATCACCTTTAAACGTACTTATTAATTTTAAATGTGACTTAGCACTTTAATTTTTGAATCATATAAATTTTCTAATTGTACATTATAGATAATATAAGAGAAACCGGAGATAAAGTAACATTTTGACTTTAAAGTTTTATAATACTTAAAATATAATATTTATGTTAAAAAAATATGTACCTTTAAGTAATATTTTAAGTAAAATATTATCTTAAAATATTAAGTATAATATTAATAAAATTTATTTAGCTATAACTATTTTTACTCATTATTTTATGCTTTGTAATAAATTTAAATCCAGTATGCCTGGCAAAATGCAACCCGTTGTACTTAGAAGCATTTAAAAACCGAATAGAAATAGAGTATGTTTCATTTGGCGCTCACTCGCAAGCATTATTTGTCTTTATTTAATATTTGATAAACAACAAAGATGAAATGATTTCAAAAACATTGCGTGCATCAAATGAACGTAACCTGACGTAACCATAATTGATTGTTAAAAAAAAATAAGTAAAAAACAAATAGAATGCGTTTCACACATTTGGCGTTTATAATTATATTAGATTTAAAATATATTTAAATTAGTCTACTATTAAATTATTTTACTTAAAAGAGGGAATTCCGAAGTAATTCTCATCGATTTCAATGAAACTTGGCAGCATTATAGTGTGTTTCCCTGAATAATCCCTAAATCACGCCTCCATTTGGATGTAGACGGTGTCTATTGTTTCTGAGATATTTCAATATTAAATATTTGATAACAGCACTTTCTTTAAAATTTATTACAACATTTATACTCGAGTATTTATAGTGTAGCGAATGTAGTAACAGTCTCTTAACTTTAAAACAAATTTAAGTTCAAAATACACTAGCAATTAATTTTTTCTTGTTATATAATATGATATACTGACTTCTTTTTTTATAAAAAAAGAAGAAGTTAATATGCCAATCAGCCCAATTAGTTTTATGTACTCTCCATAAATTTAGTGCCAAATGCATAATTAAAGATATGATAAATAAAGTTTACGTAAATTACAATTTTTTTTATATTATCACTTTCTTTACAACTTTTTTCAAAAATTTTATTTTATCTAGTCCAACTTTACGCTACTTTGTGATATCATTATTTTTTTTTCGAAAAAATGAGAGATTCGTAACAGATCACACTTAACATATTTTTTATCTTTTATGTTTTTAGCTGTATTATTTTTAAATTTTTTCATATATTGAAAAAAATATTGTTTTAAATAAATAATAGTTTCTTCGTGTAAAGTTGGTACTCTTTACTTTTTTAAATTTAATAAACTTGCAAATACTTTCTTTTACTTTAATTTCCACCGAAAAAATTAATATAATCCGAAAAAAATTAAAAATAT